GCCACTTTTTCTCTTTAAACCATGTTCGAATCGTGGAAATTTTGGAAGATCACAGGGTTGCTTTTAGCATTTAGATTCTTAATGCAAAAATGGAGTTGCATTTAGTTGCATTTAGGTGACGAATTTTGTATGGATAAATGTACATTTAGAGTAGCATTTAGAGCTAAATGCGCTAAATGTGCTTTTACGCGTAAGCAAAAACAGCCCATAACTGAAGGATGTACCTCCAGTTAGCGTTAACTAGACATGGTGCAAACGGCCCTTAGTGGCTGGACTATGAATAGCAAACATCGATGTTTCCAATGCATCGATGTTTTATTGAACCCCTAGAAAGTATCGAGTATGTTCTTTGATTTACTTGTATCGATTCATACCTACTAATGATATTTTAATACATAAACAAAACGAGAACATTAACATTATTTTGTAATAGTCAGCAATTAACTTCTTGGATATTTGAAATGTCACAAATAACTTCTTCCAAGGAGTTGTTATCGCAAGCTCTTCAAAGCCGGATTATTCCAAATCAAGAATATTTGCTACAAGGATCTATCCTCGATTCTGCTGTTGACCATTTAATACACAGGTAAAAATGTGGGTTTGTCGCGGTTGCTTACCAGATACTTATATTTGAGGAACGGGAAAGAATACGCACCGTTTCGCTTTGAAAAAAACTAAAACCAGGAAGCAATAGAGCTTTTTGGGCATAAATAAAAAAATATATACAATTCTCAAATGTAAAAAAATGTTGAGGTGAGCATAGCGGTGAATTTTTGTTGGTAAAAGTACACTTCAGCGGAACCAGGCCAAAATTGACCAAAAAATGTAATTCTCTAGTATAGGGCAACAACCCCTAAAAAAGGTCCGGAAAAGTCGGGAANAGTTGTTATCGCAAGCTCTTCAAAGCCGGATTATTCCAAATCAAGAATATTTGCTACAAGGATCTATCCTCGATTCTGCTGTTGACCATTTAATACACAGGTAAAAATGTGGGTTTGTCGCGGTTGCTTACCAGATACTTATATTTGAGGAACGGGAAAGAATACGCACCGTTTCGCTTTGAAAAAAACTAAAACCAGGAAGCAATAGAGCTTTTTGGGCATAAATAAAAAAATATATACAATTCTCAAATGTAAAAAAATGTTCGTTGAGGANTTGGGCATAAATAAAAAAATATATACAATTCTCAAATGTAAAAAAATGTTGAGGTGAGCATAGCGGTGAATTTTTGTTGGTAAAAGTACACTTCAGCGGAACCAGGCCAAAATTGACCAAAAAATGTAATTCTCTAGTATAGGGCAACAACCCCTAAAAAAGGTCCGGAAAAGTCGGGAAAGGTACCAAACGACGCGTTTCGTTAACCATTTAAAAGTTATAAACAAAAGCTTGTTAAATTTCGTTGTTTTCTATGAGCGATTACCACGTCAAAAATGCATTAAATCACCAGTTTTCACTTTTAAAACACTATTAAAACGTCTGCGGTTATTATTTTATGCAAACCATATCATTTATTCACTTTCATTTTATATATTTCGTTAATAAAACAGAGTAAACACATTTCGCGCCTGCCAAATTATTATAACCTCAAATCGCTGGTATTGCCACTTTGTTTCACATTTCATTTGCGCTATTATACTCAGTTTACACTATACACATCTTTTTTTACTTTCACCTAAATAAGATATTCTAACCAAAATATAATAGTAAATTTCGCTATACCGTGGCAGCGCTACTTTTATGGTTTACAGTTATTTTAGCTGTAATTAAAAGTAAGCATCATGGAGTGCCAATGTGCGATTTTTTATAAAAAATTTTCATTATTTATCGAAGTATTGAGTTTTACGGAAAAGCGCCGCAGGCGAAAATTTTGGGAAAATTTTAGAATGGCAACCCCCCGATTACGGAATTAAGGAAAATAGGGGGGGTAGAGGGGGTTCTAAAGGGGGTGTATGTAAAGTTTTAAAGCGCGCAACCTTATAGTTTTTAAGTAATTTGTTATTAAAGTTTGTAATTTTCACCAACTTGTATGGGACTATTTCACAATATATAATGCACTTTGCACTAAATTTACACGTTATTTACACTCAATATATGCGCAGCTAGAGTGTGCACGTTCAAACAAATAAATACTTTTAGTATATTACAGCTTTTTTATAAAAAATTGATTGTTGNGGGGATTGGGGTAATATTCCCCCATAAAATACTGAAACACATTTTTAAGACTTATATTACATTATATCCCTCAGGCAGTAGAATTCTCCTTTCTGTGTTGCCAAAGAAAAGGGGCCGAACACCTTTTGCATAGAACACCTTTCTGCGTAGGCGGCCTTCGGCCGCACTTAGGGATTATAACCCTCAGGCAGTAGAATTCTCCTTTCTGTGTTGCCAAAGAAAAGGGGCCGAACACCTTTTGCATAGAACACCTTTCTGCGTAGGCGGCCTTCGGCCGCACTTAGGGATTATAACCCTCAGGCAGTAGAATTCTCCTTTCTGTGTTGCCGGAAGAGGGGAATATGACCCCAATCCCCCTACTATTTATTTTTATCTGAACAAAAGCCTTATCGTATTTTACTTTTAATCGTATTTTCTTTTGGGCTTTCTTTCCACTCTTGGTTTTTTTAGATATGGCAACACAGTCCTGCTGCCAT